ACTTAATTACACACATTTGAGTAGATGTAATAAATTACTTTAATTCCTGTTTAAATGCAATTCATCCTGCCATACCTGCAGTGTCTTCAGACTTTGCCAGCAAATTAAAAGTTGAAGCTTAATCATTAAATTATTATCTTTGTGTTAGATTTATTTATACATCCCATTTAAACACTGCTTGTACCAATTAAATTAAATAAAAAGTAACACAAACGTTCTCTATCACTGTCATTAATCAGATAACAAACAAACAAACAAGCAGCTTCATCTACAGACAGACTGACGTTACATTTTCTCTCTTGAAACAGAACAATGTGTTAAATTGTAGAGACTCACCTGCAACACATGACATGTTGTATCAGCTGCAGCTCCTTCCTCCTCCTCGTGACTCCGACATGTTTACGTTTATCTCCGTGGTTCTCTCGTGTCGTGTCGGTGATTTTCAAAGCTGCATGTTTCTCATTTTTTATCTTTGTTAAGTTCTCCCACACTTTGGAGGACTTGGGTCGAAAGTTTTCGCTGCGCCGGTCATTTGTAAAATTTACTTAAATTTCCTTTGAAAACAGACTCTGCTTTGCTCCCCCCTCGCTCTGTTCAACTCACGCTGCAGGTTTTTTTTCCAAAAACTTTATTCAGTCAGTCAGCACTGACAATGATTAGCCCGTGAACAAAACGGCTCCGCAGCGCCGTGAAAAACGCATAATCGCGCGACACAACGAATCGATAACGAAATACGTTGCCAACGCTTTTAATCATCGATTTTTATCGATTTTATCGATTCGTTGTTGCAGCCCTACACCTCTTATCTGGACAATGGCTGAGGGGGGCTCTGGACTATGTTACAACCTTCCCTTAAAAGTCAATGCCTTCAACGGCCTAAATGTATCATGTCCATGTTGCTTTGGTGTGCGTTTTTGATGCCTCAAACCGTGCCCTGTTTAGGACATGGTGTGAGAGATCATTTTTTAATACCTTCTCTCCTCATGTTTTCTTCCCTTTTCTCATCGAAGCAAAAATATTATTCTGAATAAGAATAAGAGGGCCGCGCTAATTAGCAACAGCTTTATGCACTCTGTCCATCTTTCGGACGGCTGTACGTGCATGTTCTTGTTGTATCTCGGTACAATGACAATAAAGCTTATTCTGATTCTGATGCCGGGTCATTAGTTGGCACTGTCAAATTTGTACATTCACCTAATTCAATTCAATTCAATAATACTTTATTAATCCCAAAGGGAAAATATTTGTTGTTGAAACTCGTGATCCTCATTTCATTAAGAGATGTTATGCAGGACCTTCTGAAAAAATTAGCATATTGTGATAAAGGTCATTATTTTCCATAATGTAATGATAAAAAGGCCAATTGAGCACAGCAATACCATGGTCAGTAAACCATTTACCAGTGGTTTTGGCACTGTGAGCAGGTGCCAGGTCGTGCTGAAAAATGAAATCTTCATCTCCATAAAGCTTTTGAGCAGATGGAAGCATGAAGTGCTCCAAAATCTCCTGATAGCTAGCTGCATTGACCCTGCGCTTGATAAAACACAGTGGACCAACACCAGCAGCTGACATGGCACCCCAGTGACTGTGGAAACTTGACACTGGACCTCAAGCAATGTGAATTCTGTGTCTCCTCTCTTCCTCCAGACTCTGGGACCTTGATTTCCAAAGGAAATGCAAAATTTACTGTAATCAGAGAACATAACTTTGGACCACTCAGCAGCAGTCACAGGCGAGATGCTTCTGACGCAGTTCAAGAGTGGCTTGACCTGGGGAATGCGGCACCTGTAGCCCATTTCCTGCACACGCCTGCACGGTGGCTCTGGATGTTTCTACTCCAGACTCAGTCCACTGCTTCCGCAGGTCCCCCAAGGTCTGGAATCGGCCCTTCTCCACAATCCTCCTCAGGGTCCGGTCACCTCTTCTCGTTGTGCAGCGTTTTCTGCCACACTTTTCCCTTCCCACAGACTTCCCACTGAGGTGCCTTGATACAGCACTCTGGGAACAGCCTATTCGTTCAGCAATTTCTTTCTGTGTCTTACCCTCTTGCTTAAGGGTGTCAATGATGGCCTTCTGGACAGCAGTCAGGTCGGCAGTCTTACCCATGATTGCGGTTTTGAGTAATGAACAAGGCTGGGAGTTTTTAAAAGCCTCAGGAATCTTTTGCAGGTGTTTAGAGTTACGTTGTTGATTCAGATGGTTAGGTTAATAGCTTGTTTAGAGAACCTTTTCATGATATGCTATTTTTTTGGGACAGGCATTTTGGGTTTTCATGAGCTGTATGCCATAATCATCAGTATTAAAACAATTAAAGACCTGAAATATTTCAGTTGGTGTGCAATGAATCTGAAATATATGAAAGTTTCATTTTTATCATTACATTATGGAAAATAATGAACTTTATCACAATATGCTAATTTTTTGAGAAGGACCTGTAGATGGTGATGGCTGTAGGCAGGAAGGATCTCTTGTAAAGGTCCATCCCACAGTGGATCCGAAGAAACTGGCTGCAGATGCCGTGCAATCCGTCCACCCAGACTCGACTGGCCTCTCGGTTCTCCGGGCTGTAGGACCGCCCAAATGCCGGACAGAACTCCTCCCAGAGCGATGGCCACTCCTCCCAGCAGTCTGCAGAGTTCCTCATCGCTGCGGACAGACAACTGTAGGTGATGAGGGACGATCCAGTCCTTCCACTGTCATGAGCTGTATTTCCTGCTAGTTCCAGGATCTCAGTGGTCAGGCACTCGAGCACAGCCGGCAGGTAGATGAGAATGCATCCACAGAACATCCTTTTCAACTCATTTGATATTTGGGGCTGTAGTTGAGATAGTAGTTGAGCTTTTGAGATGTTAATCAGCTGCTGTTGGTTGTAGAAAACTGCCTTGTTGCCATGGTTACGCATCATAACAAATGTCCAAAACTAAAAAAGTTTCAGTAAAAATCCTTCCAGCTGCACAGCATCTGATACCAGAGGAAACACGCATCCAAAAAATGTGATTTACATCCAGAAAATGAGGAATTAAAGTTTCCAAAAGCAAAATCTAAGAATGAAAGTAACAGAGCTGCTCCAACATGCAGCCACCTTGAGCGGCGCAATTCTAGAACACATGCGTGATAAGATTGCACAATGCGCATGCGTGATGCCTGCTCTCAGTAAGACTTTCCTCTGGGCAAAAAGCCCAGCTAACAACAACTTAAGTTCAATCTGTACTTTGGATACGAGTCAACAAATATGACGCCAAATGGGACCGCTTCATTAAACAGCTCCACCCCGGTCGCTGAGTGGACCAGAACTGATGAGGATGATGTCAGACTTTCTACTCCAGTGTTATATCAGTAACCGTTGATGCTACGGCAGGTAAATCAACGTTCTTAATGTTTGCTTGTGTTTACTTTGGTTACACAAAAAACAAGTTTTTATTTTATTTTTCCTGGCGAGGAGAAGCTGTCCTCGCACCAGAGGCGGACCGGTTCTGAACGAGCGTACACGTTGGTCTGAGGTGCAGTGCAGGAGGACGTCGAAGACAGAGATGTTGGATCAACTTTTCACTTAAATTCCCTTCAGTTTTTTTTCCAATCCATTCAGTGTTTTAAGCTACATTAATGTGTTATGTTCATGGTGGACATAACAGTGGTGTTGAATAAATAAATAAAAATTAAACCTGATGTCTTCATTTTCAACTTTAATAAGACGTAATGATTCAAATCATCATTTAAATCACATAACTTGAATAACATAGTGTCCCGATAGCTTCATTTAGCTCAGATAGTTTCAGTACATAACAGAAGTACTGTTTAAGGATGAGGCCGATCCAATCCAGTATCAGGTACCAGCATTATTTACATATCGGACTTTCCAATCCAACCTGTAGAAATGTCTGATCCACGATGCATGTATGTCTTCATTTAAAACGTCCATGTACACCTATTAAAGAGCATGAACATTTTCATTTCAATAGAATTTGTGTGTGTGTGTAAAGTTAAAATGATTAATATTGACAAAGTTGAGAGTTTTATGTTTATTTGACGGTGATTTCAAAGTTCTTTGAAGGCTAAATACAAATAAAAGTTTAACATTAATTTATTTGTACAGTTTTTCTGAGGCTTTTATATTGTTTATATTGATATCAGATTATATCGTTATGACCGAAATTAGGAAAAACACCGCGATAAAAGTTTTGGCCATACCGTCCAGCCCTGAGTACCAGTCCCAACACAATGGCTGTTTCATCCTGGACTGGGAACACAAACAAACAAAAAGACTGCTTTGAACAGACTGGGACTAATTTGAACATGAGGAGCTGCAAACATTCACAGGAATTACTGGATTATATCAAGTTCTGCATCGGACATGTGATGAGTTGCTTAATCTCACTGTCCATGGGTTTAGTGACAATAAAAACGACATTCATTTATTTGTGTTTTAACAAATCTGGTGATGCAGTTCCTCCATGTACACCTATTAAAGAGCATGAACATTTTAATGTCAATAGAATTTATGTGTGTGTAAGTGTGTAAATAATATAAAGATTTATTTTAAGAGGTGTTCTCCGTGTAAATAACTTTCTAAATGTTCAACCTGGATTATTTCAGAGCTCTTGTTTTTGTATCAACTCTTTAAAATGTGGTTTATATTTTATATGTAGACCTGAAAGGTTGTTTACATTGTTCACGACCAACACATTGAAAAGTATTTTACTTGATAAAACTAGTTTCAGTCGTAATGAACGGGATCAGGAGTGTAAATATCATCAGCCAACTCCAACATGAGGCTAACGCTAGCGCGTCAGAGTCCGACAGTTCAGCGGTTCGAATGAAACCTTTATCCCGACCTACTGGACCTGAGAGGTCCGCTAACAGGCTGAAGAAGAAAAGAGAGCTGTAAAACAAACGTACCTCAATATCCTCTGGGAAAACCTTCCTCAACTCCACCACCACAACAGCTGAAGGATGACACTTCTTCGTCGTAGCTTTTCTTCTTCTTCTTAATTCGGTTGACCTCTATTAGACGTATTACCGCCACCTACCGGGCTGGAGCGTGGTTACGTCCCTAGACCATGCACTTGCGACCATAGATATAAACACTAGATGCCTCATTGGCTGCTGCGGCGCAGGATTTTCGGCCGCCATCTTGAAACGGTCGTCCTTATTTGGTTAAAGCAGAAGATGTCTCAGCACTTCGCAGCTTATTTCTGTTCAGATCGACGGACTGTTGACGTCAGGTCTCGGGGGATAACTTTTCACAGTAAGATGAACATATTATTGTTAGTATTTTGGGAATATAATATTACTGTACTGTATTTATGTCCACCAGCTGATGTGATGTTCAGTGTAACACGGTGTTCAGCTGCAATGAAGCTGACTGAGATCTGATGACAGGAATATTTTTCTAACAAGCATACTCACTATTTCAGCAGCTTTGGTTCATTATCAACAGATATGCATCAAAACTGGAGTTTTGTTTAAGTTCTAGGAAATAAAAAAATAAAACTAGGGAGAATATAGGAAATAGAAAATAAGATTGACCTCCTCTGTACAATGTTTTTGTGTAGACATAAATCTCCTGTTTTCATTGTGAAGGTTTCCCAAAGAACAAGATGTGAGGAAGAGGAGGAAGTATCTTTGAGCAGGGAGGTGTCGAAGGCTAAATCCAGGTACAACACACGGCTGGAACAACAGTCCTCTGCAAACGATTCTGCCTCTGTCTGGAGGGGGCTGAAAGAAATAACTAATTACAAGCCCAGAGCACCTCATTCTACAGACAATCTCAAACTGGCAAACGATCTGAACGATTTCTATTCATGCTTTGAAGTCATGGACTCACATTCCTCCATCCTCCACACCACCCCCAGCTCAACTGGTTTAACGACTTTGGACTGCCCTCGACAACCCCCTGCTATCTCTGTACAAGAGGATGAAGTAAGGAGGCTTTTTAAAAGGCTGAACACACATAAGGCTGCAGGCCCAGACCTTGTGTCACCCTCCACGCTGAGACATTGTGCTGGAGAGTTGGCTTCAGTCTTCACAGGGATCTTCAACTCTTCTCTGGAGTCATGCCATGTCCCAGCCTGTTTCAAGTCCTCCATCATCGTCCCTGGCCCCAAGAAGCCACGTGTCACAGGACTAAATGACTACAGACCTGTAGCTCTCACGTCTGTAGTCATGAAAACCTTTGAACGCTTGGTTTCATCTCACCTCAAGTCCATCATCAACCCCCTCCTGGACCCCCTGCAGTTTGCCTACAGGGCCAACAGGTCTGTAGATGACGCAATAAACCTGACTCTTCACTTCATCCTGCGGCACCTGGACTCGCCAGGAACCTACACCAGGATCCTGTTCGTGGACTTCAGCTCTGCATTTAACACCATCCTCCCTGCTCTGCTCCAAGACAAGCTCTCCCTGCTCCATGTACCTGACTCCACCTGCAGGTGGATCACAGACTTCCTGACAGTGTCAGTGCGTGCGGCTGGGGAGAGCTGTCTCAGACACTCAGACTGTAAGCACAGAATCTCCACAGGGCTGTGTGCTTTTCCCCCTGCTTTTCTCCCTGTACACCAACTGCTGCACCTCCAGCCACGACTCTGTGAAACTTATTAAGTTTGCAGATGACACCACCCTCATCGGGCTCATCTCGGACGGTGATGAGTCTGCATACAGGAGGGAGGTGGACCTGCTGGTGACCTGGTGCAGCAGCAACAACCTGGAACTCAATGCTCGGAAGACAGTGGAGATGATTGTGGATTTCAGGAAAGCCACAGCCCCTCTGCCCCCCCCCCCGACCATCAGCTCCCTCATCAAGAAGGCCCAGCAGAGACTGTACTTCCTACGACAGCTGAAGAAGGCCAAGCTGCCGGCCAAGCTGATGGTGCAGTTCTACATGGCCATCATGGAGTCCATCCTCAGCTCCTCCATCACGGTGTGGTACGCCGGGGCCACTGCCAGGGACAGACTCAGACTGCAGCGCGTTGTGCGCTCAGCTGAGAAGGTGATCGGCTGCAGCCTTCCATCCCTCCACAACCTGTACGTCTCCAGGACTGTGAGGCGAGCAGGTCGGATCTCAGCTGACCCTGCTCACCCTGCACACGGACTGTTCGAACCACTCCTCTCAGGCAGGAGGCTTCGGCCCATTCGGACCAGAACCTCCCGCCATAAGAACAGTTTCTTCCCGTCTGCTGTTGGACTCCTGAACACTCATAATGCTACCTCATAACTTCTGCTTTGGTCACATTACATCTGTATTATAACTGAATACTCCATCTGTACAGTTTTCTAAGCTTTTTTATTGTTTTCCATTGTATGGGTGTACATATGTTTTATGTAATGTTTTCATTTTTACTTTATTTTACTTTATTACTATTCGCTTCTTTATGTCGAAGCAAATTCCTAGTTTGTGAACCTCGTTCATTGACATGGCAATAATAATAAACTGATTCTGATTCTGATCTGTACAGGATGAAGCCTTACCTCCTCTGACCTTTTTGGAGAACGGTGCCATCAGCACAAAATACAATGCTGCAGACAGTACATATTAAATATACTGCATAATGACACACACCCAAAAAAGAAAAAACAAAAATACTAGACTTTTTGTCTGTGTGGCTCACCCAGGAAAATATTTTATTTTATTATATTTGGAAAGAGGTTTTAGAAAATCAATACAAACTATCCTAATGAGCAATATAATTTACGGTAATTCCCTGTACAGTTGTGATTTTGAAAAAGTCATTGTCACTTATTCAAACTACACACTTTATTAATATTTGACTGATGAAACACAAAATGCTCAAAGTTTTACGACCTTATACAGTTAAAACAAAGTTTGGCAATGATTGCACCATATGTTTGAGTTGTGGCTAAATTAGGTGTTTATACTGAAACTTGTTTTCTTAACACCTTTAATTACAGCAACACCTCAGGGGCTAAGATAAGTCATGTGACAGTCAATCCTGCTGGTATGAACAAGCTTTTTTTTTAGAGTTCTTGTGAATGGCCATTAGCAGATAATGGGCTACAGCCTACTGTTTGCAGAAGCACAAGTTTAATGTCAAGGGTCCTGTCTATGGTCTGATGGTTGTTAATGGCCACAAGGGACCAGTTAATTTCAAAACAGTTATTTTTAGTGAAAGTTTTTTTTTTCTCCAACAAATGGGGGTCCTTGAAGAGAAGAGTTGTAGTGGTGTTCATTAAAACCATACAAATGCAAAATTCACTTTACCTTGTTTTTTTTTTTTGTTAGTTTTTTTTTCCAAAATGTAAACTTAAAGTAATTCAAATATCATCTACCTGGATTGACACTGTTAGTTAAGTTCTGTATTTTTAATAGTCAAGCACAGTTTAAAAGACAGATCAACCCTTAATGCACAAAACTAACCGAGGCTTTACTTTTTGATATATTTCATGTAGACACAAGACGTCTTATTAAAGAAATTAACAATATGAAAAATTTAAACCTTTCAACCACTGTCACGGGTGAAAGAATGGCAAGGGGAGCACAAACCATCCATCCATCCATCCATCCATTATCTTTTACCCACTTCTTCCATTTTAGGTCACGGGGGTTGCCGGTTCCCATGTCCAGCAATCACTTTGTGAGGGGTGGGGTACACCCTGGACAGGTCGCAAGTCCATCACAGGGGAGCACAAACCACTGGATATATTTCAATGAAACTTTAAGAAAGTAATTTCTGAGTGTACGTCTGAAACTGATTAACTGTTGGCATCAACCCCAGTCAAGTTAACCACCACAGCTAAGCAATCAAAATCAGAGCTTTATCACATTTACATTAAAACATGGCAACATACGAAGACTTAGAGTTTAAAATATACAATGTTGAAGATGCGATTGATACAAATTTTTTCCCTGAAATACAAGACTGTGAATATTACAATGAAGAACAGTTTAATGACATCAATATAACAAATGGAGGTCTCTCTATTATTCACTTTAACAGTAGAAGTTTAAATGCAAATATATCCAAAATAACAGATTATTTAAAACAGCTAAACAGAACCTTTACAATAATAGCACTGTCAGAGACATGGCTCAACGATGAAAACACAACTAATGTTCACATGGAAGGGTATGAATTATATCATGTGAACAGAAGCAACAAAAGAGGTGGTGGAGTGGCTCTATTTGTTAAAAATGAAATAAAATGTAAATTAATTAATGAAATGTCAATAATTGTTGATAATATCATGGAAATAATAACAATAGAAATAATAAACAAGAATGATAAAAACATATTGATAAGTTGTGTATATCGATCTCCAGGATCAAATATAGAAATATTCACTGATAAAATCGTACAATTATTGGACAAGAGTTTTAATAAAAGCATTTTTTTCTGTGGAGACTTTAATATTGACCTGGGAAATAAAACAGATTCAAATAACATCAGTACATTTACAAATTCATTGTATAGTTTAAATCTTTATTTGTTAATATCAAAACCAACAAGAATTACAACTCAGTGCAACAATAATCGATAATATTTTCACAAATGTAACAAATGGGGATGTGATGGGAGGTATTTTAATGAGTGATTTGAGTGATCATTTACCAGTTTTCATGATTTATAAAAATGATCAAAGCATTACAAAAGAAATTACAATTAAGAAAAAAACAATAAACACATCAAAAAAGCAATGGGCAAATTAAAAGATGATTTACATAAACAAAACTGGAAAGACGTGTATGTTGATGATGTGAACAGATCATATGATGAGTTTATGAATATTTTAGGAGCTCTGTATGAAAAGAATTGTGTGCAAAATAATTATACAAAGAGAAATGTTGTTGACCAACCATGGATGATGAAAGGGTTGAGAAATGCTTGTAAAAAAAAATAATTATTTGTATACATGTTTCTTGAAATTGAGAACACAAGAGGCTGAAGAGAAATATAAGAAGTATAAAAATAAATTAGTAGGGATTATAAGGAAACACAAGAAGGAATATTATAGTGATTTATTAAATAAAAGCAATGGTGATAT